AATCCTGTACATGTTGGTCTAGATTATCACTAGTAATAATGATATCGTCTAAATAGATAAATGTGGACTTTCCGAGAACAGGTCTTAACACAATGTCCATGCATCGCTGAAATGTTGCTGGGGCGCCCTGAAAGGCCAAACGGCATTCGCAAAAATGCATAAGTGCCAGACTTGGGTTATAAAAAGCAGTCTTAGGACGTCCTCAGGCCTGATCCCTATTTGAAAATAACCATCGTTAAGTCTAAAGTTGTCATAAATTTGGTTGATTTTATGTTCCTTAAAAATTTCTTCTATAATCGGTAACGGATATACCGGATATTTCGTTATGGAATTTAAATTTACGGTAATCAATAGCGAATCTCCACCTTTTTGGATGCTCCAAAGGATAATCATTATTTTTCTTACATAAAACCACCGGGAACTAGCCATAACTACTTGAGATAGGCGTTATGATCTTTTTACGTAGCATATCGGTAATATGCCATTCTATAATTTTTTCCTTATTCTTATCATACCGGTATGGTTTTTGACGAAACCGGCAATGCATCTCCGGTGTCAATACTATGGTTAGTAACCTGGGTAAAATCCTGGAATATCACTAATAAGGAAGCAAATTCACTTACCACTTGTCGGATTTTCTATCTTGCTCGTCATTAGGCAGGTGGTCGAGATTTACCCTTGGCGGTTCAACCTTTTTCTACACACACTGGTTTGCATCCTCAGCTTAAGAGACGCTTCATTAAAATCCAGTGTAGCTTGTGCGTCTGAAAGAAAGTCTATTCCTAGTATTAAGTGTGCTTGCAAATTCTTTACTATAAAAAACATCACCTTTACTTGTTCGTCCTTGATACGGATGTACAAAGGTACTTTACCTACGCACTTACATTGTTCTCCTTGCGCCGCTAATACTGTTGTATTATCCGCATTATATATGCGGTATTTGCGAAAATACTTCTAAAAAAGACTTCTGCCACACAGGAACACTGCGCGCCGGTATCCAGGAGTGCGGTGGCCGGGGATATTATTTACCAAGACTTCAATCTTCGGAAGAGTTAAATTTTTCACCATTACTGTATTTAACTTGTAGGAAGAGGGGTTTTCGTGGCCTTCGGATTTCCGCACCCTCTCGTCAGCAGAAATCCGTTTTAGTTTAAATTATTTTTTCTTTCGGTGCTTTCCTTCTTTCTCCACTGGCCTTGAGACTTTTTTCCTGGGTTGCTATTGAACTGTCGACGTTTCGCCGGCTGTTTTTGAATGCTCGGGTTTCCTTGCCCACTGATTCGCTTTTTCTCCGTAGCCCATGTGCTGAGTTTGCTGTAGTCTTGTGTGGTGGTCTTGGCGTACCAAATTGGTTTCGCTGTTGATATTGGCGTCTTCTTTCGACGTCCGCCGTTCTTCTACTTTCAAACTGGATTGCTAGCTCAAATAATTTTTCCAGTGTAGTCGGATTTCTCAATTCAATAAAGTCTTGCACTTGGGGGTAGTAAACCTCGGCAAAATCACTTGAATTATTTCAGGATCCGGACGGTTTCCATACAAGAGCTTGAAAACGTGAATTTTTCTTAAAATAAAGCTCGAGAGGTTTTCGATTCTTTGTTGATATATACTGAAAAGTTCTGTTTCTAATTTCGCACGATCCCTTACAACAGGGAAGGCTTTTAGTAGGGCAGTCTTGAAATTTTCGTAGGTATAGGTGGGACTTCCTGCTTGACCCCAAGAGACTTCTGCCGATACATTTGAACCAGTTAAGCGCTTGGCCCCGCAAAGCGCTGGTAGCTAAGGTAACTTTTTGAAACTCGTGCACGGGGTAGAGCATGAAGTGGTCATCCAATTTTTCCAAAAAACTGGTTACCTGTGAGTTTCCATTAAATGTTGCTTCTGGTTTCATCGAAGCGCGCATGGTCTGGACAATATACCCGAATCCTTCCAGGCGCGCAGCTGGCATATCTGGATTCTGAGCTGTTTCTGCAGCAGCACACAGGTTCTTCTTGAAACTCGGCCATGGTTATTCTTCGTCGGGCGCGCCACTATCAGGTTCAATGTTCTTCTTACCTTCTTCGGAAACATACAATGACCTGACTAGAACAGAGAGCTTACTAAAGCTATGTTCACTAATTGTAGTAAGTAGACAGGATACAGACGAAGGGTATACAAAACCCTTTATTTTTTTTCTTTATATACAATGACTTCCGTACTTCGGAATACAATGACCCTCCACTCGGGGTCTAACTTAAAAGAGTATCAAAATAAAACTAAACTCTATAATTTAAACTTTAGAATAAGATTGGCCTTATAATAACAGAAAGCGTATGTAGCACAGAGACTGTGAACACTACAATACGTTTAATTTATCAAGAGGATTAAAACCTCTGGCCTGGAAGGCAAAGTTAGCAACTGCGTAATTCTAAGGTAAGCGGCCTGCTTCGAACTCACGGCTTCCTCTCTCTGCTTGGCAAAAAGGCCACACTTAAATACTTGGCGTTCGCCAGACAACTTTGCATAAAACTCCTTCACGCTTATAATTCTGGCCGGAAGTAGAAAATAAGAAGTGATAGTAAAGATTTAAAATAAAATAAACGTTAGTAAAACTTAAGATCCTTACAACATATTGGTTAGAAGTGCTCAACGCCACAGTAGTATAATCTCTAGTAAATCAAGATAGCAACGTGACCTTCAAGGCATTAACACACCCTAAAATCGCCTTTCAAAATCTTCCCTTAAATACTTTTACTTTCTGCCTCATTTGAATATACGCGCGCTAGTTTATTAACATTCTAGCAAGAAAGAGTGGGTTGAAAACGAGAATAAAAGGATAGTTGCTATAAAATAAAAGTTATCTGTTAGATAAATTAAATAAATCCCCACATTCTTAATAAGTACAAATAAAACCTGACGTAATTACGCTGGACAGTCACAATGCGCGCTAACTAAATGGTTGTGTCTCGCTAAATATAGTGCAGACTATTGAAGGCAGGCATACTTAACAAGAAGAACGAAAGAATCATCAAAACTAATAAAAAGCATAAATGTAATAAATCCAGCTTTAAAATGCCGTTCCGGCTAAAGCCAAAGTAGAGGCTAAGTTGCCGACAGGCTGCAAAATATCTAAATGCCTTGCTTCATATCTTGGAGACACAGTCCATGTCGACGGTCTGTTGTATATGCTCTACGTACATTAATTTGAATTATATCATTGGTCCAAGATGGCCAGAGGCTAACTTTTGCTATGTGTGATCTTAGCAAATAGTTACAATGCTTCTGCATTTGTCAAGAGGCATTGTTATGGAAACGAGGCGGCTCGAAGCTATGGGTCTAGTTCTCACTTGAACATCCCTACCTACGGGCCCTGACCTTGCCTTTATAGTATTTGCAATAGTAATCGGCTACAGTTAAATTATTGTTTTTAATTCTTTGTTCCCTTAAAAGGCTTCTTAATATTTCTTAGTATGAATCTTAAAATACTTAAAAGAGATTTCTAAGTCTGTTCTTAAAACTACTAATGCTGTAGCAAAATCCAAGGGCTGTTGTAGCAAAATTAGACGACATTCCAAATGCCATCCTTGAATTTGCCGCCCACAAAAATTGCCGCCCGGAGCAGGGACCCAGCTTCCTTCCCCATAGATATCAAATAACAGCAGTGTTTAATATATATGTGAATGATCAATCCTTATTCTTTGAAATGCGCCAGTCTTGCTTAAATTAACTAGACTTAATGGACAGTTGTTGTTTCTCTTTGATGCATCAATAGGGATAGAATGCTTAACTGGTAACAATTCTGAAGCAGTCTGATGACCAAAATCAAAGAAAAGTAATGAAAAAAATATGAAATAAATATTTTAAACTCCTCGGGAAAATTAATTTAAATTAAAATCATAAGCTATATTAGAGGCACTTTCATTTGCTAAAAACCTTTTTCACCAAATAGTGTTTTAAGCCATTTTTAGTGAAAAGGAAGTTAAAAAAAATGATTAAGAGATCAACAATGATTAGCAGCGAAAGATTTATTTATTTTTGCTTTCCTGACGTAAGAATCGCATTTTTAATGCTAAAGATTATAAAGCTCCCTTAGTTTGATCATTGTATATTAAACCACTCCAGCATAAAATGCTGTGGATTCCACATAATTCGAAAAAAGATCTAAAGTTTTTAAAGAACTGAATAATTAATTTTACCAACAGATGATGAAATAACTTCGAAAGTCGAAACCTTGACCTACATATTCGAGCAAGAGTTTTGAACAATAGAAGGAAAAAGCTGGATGACAACACATTTATTGCCATTGTTTTTAGTGGTAGAATGTTCTATGGAATGATAAGAAAAGAGAACCTTATAAGAAAGGCAAACACAATTTCCTGATAATAAAATCTGTCAAATAATTGAGCCCCTAAGCAAGAAAAGATTGGGGAGAACAAATATAAAAAGTAGTAATACACATAAAGGTAAATAGAGACCATATTTTTATTTTGTTCCTGAGTACAGCATACTGACAATATTCTATATGAATGATAAAAGCAAACAGTAAAACAGTTCAAATAATGAAATATACTGCTCAATGAAGAACCTGAGAGTAACTGATTTTGATCAAGTATTGCCAAAAAGAATATCAAATTTTTAATCAATTTTATCTATTGGAAAAGTTCAGATTCTCTATGGTCTGACAAGATAATTTTTCTAACCAAAATTCTTTAATTTGCATATTTCAGTCATAAGAGTTATTACGAAGCAAGAAATGAAAATTTTCAAATGCTTTCTGAGATTATATAACATTACTTAAAATATGTCACCAACTGGGCGATTTTGCACCAAATCTGGCAAACCTTCCTTTTCATGCCACTTTCTGGCAACCCTAAACCCGCTTTTTCGGTTAAGCTATCTTAAAATTTCGTTTAAAACTGTTGTTATATATCCAGATAAACCATCGTATAAATCTAATCTTAAATAAAAGCTTTGCAACAAAAATTCATTGAGCAATATTTACTGAAATCAAAAGATCAGCTTACTTTGTCACTTCCTATACTGTTATACTTTACTGGTATTGGTTGCCAAGGAAAATTCGGTAAGAATTCCCAGTTACAATTAGGAGCATAGAGTGCAGCCACATGACAGAGAGCACTCAGAATACACCGATTCTTTTCACCACTTATCACTTCCACCTAGGATATAAAGATAAAGAGATATAAATGGTCATATACGGTCAATACACTTAAAACAGTATTCAATTAATTTTCTAACTATTGCATTAAAATATGGTATTTTAAGGCATCGGTAATTCCACATTGCAAGCGAAGTTGAGCAATTTTTATTACAAATAATGGTCTTAAAAATGTTAGTGTGGCTTTCGACACAGGAGTTTCAAACTTCACTAATTTATTTAAAATTCTAAGCTTCTCTAGGGCAAAACTACATATTCAGAATATATTTTTAGCATATTTGTAATTTGCTAATATTAAATTCGCAAAAGATTGGCTTTGAAAGCGTTTACGTCATATTTGAAGTACCAATTAGATTCGAGGTAGATTTAAATATGTCATATTTGAATTTTGTTTCAGGAAACTGACGATATGAATTAATTAAGGCAGCTATTGCCAAAAAAACTCAATTATCTGTGCAAAATAATTTCGCATTAGTGAGATTTTACATTCCAAGAATTAAAGATATAAATATGTAGGGTAAAAATATGTAAATCAAAATTATAATTTAAACTAACGTTAACTCTCTCCAACGGTAATTCTTCTTCTTTATTCTAAAACTCGCAATTACTTCTCTGGATTGCGTCATTTCTAGATCAATCCATCTTGCACGGCTTGTGTAACGCTGATGACGAGACTGATTCGGAACCTAAACTCACAATTTTGAGAACCGAAACTTTTCTAACCTAAACCAAAACCTTTATCTTAACAGACTGCGTAATAGATAAGTGCGCACTTTGCTTCTAGTTCTCTTTCTGTTGAGACCCTGCCGTGCTGCTTTCCTTTCTATCGCAATAGTATTCAAAAATGTAAATGCTCTTGAATAGACACGATTAGAGAGTGAAGTAAACTGTGGCCACAAACGTGGATGTAAATAAAAATGGAATTTAATCTGCCTCGAGTGCCAAGTTTCCTATTCATTATGGATTAGCATTTTACTCAAACAAAATTCTCCCTGTTCAGTATGGATCTACGTTCTAAGCTATCAAGTACCTACGCCAAAGAAAACTGCTACGCCTTTTTCATCACACATATATAGTATATAGCGAATCTCAGAATATACTTTTTGTTAAAATTAATTTCGATACATTTCGATTCGGTTTAATTTTAAGTAAATTCTCAGACTCAATAAAGTAGCGAAGTTTCCGGCAGGTTTTGCAGACCATTAAGATAAGTAAATAGAAACAGGACTGAACTATGAGGGCATTGCAAACAGAAGGAAATATGAAAACTATGTAAAGGCGAGTAAGAACATTTTCAGTCATTTGAAGTTTTCTGAAAATTAGCAACAATTTCCTAAGCATGATCTTCAATATCATATCATGAAATATTTAAGAATCTTAGATTTTCTTATATGACTCATGTAAATCAGTTAGTGAAACTTAAGTAATGTTAGAAATTACAGAAGTTTTAAACTGGCTAAGCTGTCTGTTTTGTAAGATAATATTGATGGCATACACCTTGTAACTTTAATGATTTATAAATTTACATTATATCATTTCTGTTTCTTATTCAACTATTCTAGCTTATGTTTAATTTTCTAAAACAACCATAGAAAAATATTTTAAATACAGTTAAAAGTATAGTTGCGAAATTATTAAAATGCTGAGTGTCAGTTGTAAACAAAGTGACTGATACCGATTTAAAGCTTAAAATTGGCGAAAAAACATAATGCGCGTCGCCTTTCTCCACGACATATCGCCGAAAGCAGAACGCGTTGCAGAATTCTTTATGAGAAACATATATCCAGACGAAAATTGAAAAATGTGTCAAAGTAGATAAATCTTGAGCGTATTAAATGATTTGCAATAAAAAAAGATCTATTTATTATCATCAAAGAGGGGAAAAAATCTTAAACATGGTTCAAAGAATCATGTTTAAGATTATTTTTCCAAAAAAGTTTTTTCAAAGGGATTTAAGACTGTTGCTGGTTTTTTATAGAACGGTGAATTAAAAATAAAAAGAATGAAGAAAAATTTCAAGATCAACTCTGCACATTATCAGGAACACATTTTGTACCCAATATTCAAATATGAAATAGCCCTCTCTATCATAATCAGTAGAACTGCATGAAGATAAACAAACAGCCACACGTCAAAATCCAGTGTTAATTTCCTGGAAAAAATGGAACAAGAAACGGGTATCAAAGCCATAACCTTTCACTCATATCCCTACTAAATCTCCTTACGCACCATCCACGGATTTTTCGCGCTTTTGAACTTTTTAAAAGTGGATTGTCCGAACATCGACCTACAATACTTGGACTTTAGAAATTCGTTCAATCTTGAACAGATTTCTAAAGAATGGGAAAAAATACCTTTCCGACACTACAAAAGACTTAATTGTCTTGGAAGCTACTGTGAAGAATAAGGGTTATCTAACAGAACATTATAAACAGAAAACGTTTAGGTAAAATATTTTTTTTTAATAAAATGAAAATCGTCCAAAAAATGGGTGAATATGCTATTCATTGTCTCTACATATAATAAAAGAAAGAGTCTGTGTGTCTTTCGTTTGCGCTGCGCGTAAGCTAATAGACCCACGGCTACGAAATTTGGTACATAGGTGCATCTAGACAAGAGCCAGTGCACCTCGAAACGATTTTTTCGAAATTCGAAATAGAATTTTTTTTATTTTACGTTTTCTGACAAAATCGCGTCATTTTGAGACATAATGGGCTATAGAAAAGCGAGATTTTACTCTGCATACTCCATTTTCACATCGTCATGAAACGTACGCACTTAGCTATTTTACGAACTTAAAATAAATTTCGTGTTTCAATAAATCGATTCAATACGAATTTATTTAACAAAGGGAGCTTAACACCTTTTCAACGGGATTTTTTTCTAAAAAAGTTTATTTTTTAAAATGTACAGTTTATTTTTCTTTGATTTTTGGACACGTTAAACTTTCATCCTTGCGACTGGTTTTACAAAACTAATTTTGGAAAAATGATAATATTTTGTATTTTTAAAGAATTTTTATAAATGAAGCTTCCGAGTACACTTCTCACATCTCCCATCTTTAAAAATGTGATTTTGGCAACAATTTTCCTGTCTTATTGTTGTTGATAGATTTTAGATGAAATCGCATAATTTTGAATAGTTTCATTCTTTTAGAAATATGGGTTTGGCAACAATTTTTCATCGTATTTCTTATGTCAATGTTTTTAAGATATTGGCATATTTCATTGCCCTTTATATATATATATATATATATATATAATACATTTTTATTGATTTTTTTAATAAAGTTTTCTGCAGAGTAAAATTTTGCGCGGAATTTTATGTTTTTTGAGTTGATTTCATGTTAATTTTTTTGCTTATTTCACTGTTTGTAAGATATTGAAAAGTTTTGCATGATTTTTTTTCTTGAAATTTAAAAGTTAAAGTTGGTTAATTTTTTTATTAGGATAATTAATATTTGTATGTAATTTTTTTCTCTTGAAAATATAAGATAAAATATCATTAATTATACTTTGATTTTTAGAATTTTTTGTTTTTTGTATTCTTTTATGTTATTTATTGCTCATTTCATTGTTTATAAGATATTGAAAAGTTTGAGTGATTTTTTTTTTCAGGAAACAAAGTTCTTAACCTCCTTTATACCATTTGAGTTTTTAAGATTTTGCAAAGGGAAGTTGGTTAATTTATTTATTAGGATGATTAATATTTGTATTAAGGGATATTGCTTATTTCATTGTAGTTTTATTACACGTAATAACTTTTATTTATGAAGTTGTTCTGCAGAGTAAAATTCTACGCAGTTTTTAAATTTAACGTTTGATGTTCCCTTCAGCCATTTTTTACGGTACATTTAAAAGCCAGACGAAGGCTGGCAGCGAAGCTGCTAGTTATATATATAAGCTACACCACATTAGACCACGGGAAGCATATTTCGCAAGTGCACATCAGCGTAGCCACTGAGGGAGGGGTTCGAAAATGGACCAATGAGCTTCTATTGCTCTTGTGAGGCTAAATCTTCATGCATGAAAGAGTATGTCGTTTACGTTTTAATTTGCATTTGTTTCGCAGTTATAAATGTTTGGCGTAATAGCAGAAAATCTCGTAGCGCTTTCGTTTTCAGAGTTTAATTAATCGCTGATATTTCACTTTCGCGATTTTTATCACGCATTGATATTTGGGTTGATGTTTACAGCATATTCGCTCTTTACATCGAAAAAATGATTCAAGCTACAATTATAGCCACGAATATTATACATTTACTAACACCTGTGGATTAAAAGAATTCAAGTGTATAATTTTTCTTTAATTTAGATGAGAAGGACTGGAAGTATTACAAATATATGTGAATAAATTAAATATATTCCTTGTGAATAATATAAATTCTTTCTACGAGTATTTGATGAGTATTTCTTATGTAGACAGTGCATTTAAAAGTGAGTAGTTATTAAATGTGAAATATAACCCACTAAATGTATACGAATGCAAATTAGTAAAGTTCACTTTGACTAAAATTCTGCATTGGCTATTATTATAGAACATCTTTTTCATATAGACTGCAATAAAAAGTGCTAACTTCTATTTACATATATAATTGGTGTAAATATTATTCTAATATACATAGTTTTATGTAAAAATAGCATTTGGACTCAAATGTTTATCACATATTTCTCTTCTTCATTTTATTTACGACTTATTAAGTAAGTAATATTTCAATGGACATTTTTGCGGAGTGTCCAACATGTGTTTGCATTTATTTCAAAGTCTTTCAACCAGGTAGTGAAATCTTCACAATTGCTTATATTTGATCTAACTTCGCAATGACAATTTTCATAAGAAATCGACGATGCTTTAATTATTTTGTATAGAAAATTGCGTAGCAAAATATTTTCAACCCTGTTGTTTAAATATTAAAGCACGCAAAAGGTCATGTGACAGGACAGAAATATTCCTGGATGCCCATTGGACTATCCTAGAAGCCACTCCCTCGGTGGCTACACAGATCTGCACTTGTGAAATATGCCCTCGGAGAAGGGGGAAGTATTATTTAAAAACTTAAAAAGCTACAAAAGCTTATTTTGAAAGAAAAGTCTGACGTGTACAACGTTTCAAGATAAATTTGTAGAGTCATTAGGATTTTTTGGAGAATTGAAAAATGAGCGACGCCTTCGCCGGAATTGAACCACGGACCTCTGGAATACGCGCCCAGCGTGCAGACCACAACACTACTAAGGGATGCTAAGAAGGCGGGAGAAATACCTTATATACTCCCCCTTTTAACCAGTTCAGGATTAGCGTCGCGTATACGCGACGCAACGATTCCACTCCTATAATTCGACCGTCTCAAGCGCAACCCTGGTTGGCATTCTGCCAAAACACATAGATTCGTCCAAAAGAAGCGGTATTACTTGCTGCGACGTGAAAAGGTCTTCTCTTCTCTGGAAAGAGCTATGCTGGAGGGAAAGAAAATCCCCACCCTTGCACCCTATTTTGAGAATAATTCAGTCCGAATGGCGCATGCTGTTTGCGCTCACGGTCGTGAATGAGGCGGTCGAACTATACCAGCCCAGCGTTCTGTATACGCGACGTAACGATTCTGCTCCTACAAGCTCAGCGACGTTGAAACGGAATGATTTATTTGAGTTTTTAAAAGTCAGTAAATGGAGCTAAGTGGTAACTGATTTTCCATAGGTTGATTCATACGGCATTTGACATTCATGAACTGGCATTAGTTTTTGCTTCGTGTATCTGGTTTTGAGAGATTTATTGAAATAAACAAACCGGAAATCACGGCTTTTTATAAGTGCGCCTGTGAATAAAATGGGTACAGGCGTTTTTGTTTATTTCGTTAGGATTTTTTTTTTTCTATTTATTTTGAAACTCAACATAAGCTTTCTTGGTTAAGTAAAAAGTAACATTACAACATTATTACAGAAGGGGAAAGACTATCAGTTTTCTCGACGCGTAATGCGTCTTGCTCGCATTTCTCAGGAAAGATGGTTTAATAAGTCATTATATATAATGCCTTGAATGGTCATTATATATAATGACACAGGCATTATATGTTGGTATATAATGTATTTAATTTACATATAATGTATAGATTGAAGTGATCAATAATGGATATTCCGCCAGAAGGGGTCTTTCCTTGATCACTTTCCGGTCATCGTAGACGCTATTTTCGATTTAGAAAAACAGTAAGTTTTCTAATATAAACCTGATGCCATACAGGGTTTGAGGATGAAATATTTCTGAGTGTCTTTTGAAGAAGTTTTGGGACATGTATTGGGGTTATATTCGGTTTCATTCCGTTAGCCATAGCTAAGAGACCTTACTTAAAAACGTAAAAATTTGTCCAAAATTACCGGACAACTCCACCTTTCCGTCTAACTAGAAGACAGTTTCCGAAAATTTGCGTTGACGGAAAAGGTAATAAAAGTAGGAGAAGATGCGTTGTGTGCGCTAAAACCAAGCGCTAAAACCATATTTTTTTTCATGTATATGGTACTTATTTCTGTGTGTATAGTAATGATTTCAATATTTTGCCTGCTTAATTTATTTCTATTAATGTGATATTCTTTATATTAATACACATTAAAAACAAGTATATTAAATACACAACTTCAAAAATTAAAGTCATAGTATCAAAATGCTGATTTTATACGATTTTATTTGTAAAATTAGGCTTAACTGCTGAAAATGCGCAGGCCGGTGGCGACGATCCATCTCAGCGGGTCCGGTCCGGTGACTGCGCTTCGTTCCCCCGACGCTGGTCTTTAAGGGGAAAAGGCGACTGGGGTTTTAGGAGACCCTATCGCCAAATCTTGGGTGTGGAGAATCATCATCCACCACCCTTTTAGTTCGAGCGTCACTGTAGAGTCATTAGGATTTTCTTTTTGGAAGCTAGAGTGATGAAAAATGAGCGAGGCCTTCGTCGGAATCGTACACCGGACCTCTGGAATACGCGCCCAGCGTGCAGATCACCACACTACGAAGGCATGCTAAGAAGGCGGGAGAAATACTCATTCTCCTCGCTGTTTGAACGCTGTTTGCTACACCTGGGTGCCTGACCACTAGGCTCTACCCCATGTAGAATAAATTAGAAATTTCGAAAGATGAAATGATATTAATCTAAAAAGCAGTATAACTTTTTTTATAAATATTTTTAAGGTGCTAATGAGTAGTTCAAGACCTTAGTAATCTGTTATGGACTGGGAATTTACCAAACTGTTATTAACTACAGGCGCCAGAGGCCGTCGAGCTGATGTAAAGGCAAGGTAAACGTAAATATTGGGAGTCTGAATCTATGAAAGAATATATATACAAATTGAATAGACACACAATGCAAGTATAGTCACAATTGAAAACCAAAACATAATAGAGAGAACATTAGCAAATCATATTGTGGCGGTACATAGAAGTTGCAGAAACATAAGAGAGAAGTGTGGGTGATCACATTAACCAGATATTTAATTGAACCATAGGCCTGTCAATATGACTTAGGCAATTGTAGTCGTAGTCACAAATTTTTATACTTGGGTTATCAATAAGATGTTGCCGTTCGTGAAATTTCTTAGCCAGTTTATAGAAATATATACTTAGCAACTCAACACCAAGTTCCTCACGTATGCTGTTGTTTCGAATGTACCATTTAGCACTGATAATGTGCCTCAGTACACTATTTTGACATACTTAGATTGGATTGGATTATTCAGTTATGGCAAAGCACACGAGGGCTATCTGCCTAAAGGGAGGGATGCCTTCGTGGAGGACTTTCTAAGAGAAACTGGCTCGTATACACGTTACACATGGGAAAAACCACGAAAACTCCCATGCAGCCAGCCCGTTCGCGGGATTCGTACCTCGGACCGAACTACCAGTGTTCAGCTTCTTTACCGCTCGGCCGCTGGTGGGCATTGGAATACTTGGAGTTTTTTCCTGTTAGTTTTTCTTGTGTCTGCCTAAACTGGACTTGCATAATCTTCGGCATGCAATGCGTTATCATCTGTGAATATGGGCATATTGAAAACTTGTCATTCCAATAAAAGTTTTTTCTGTCTCCTCTCTTGTATTATCACTGGTCCTTTCAATGCTTTCCTTTGCAAATGTTTCCCACTGGCAGTTTTCATCATACGTGTATCGTTCCAATACCATTTATGGTTTATCAAAACCATAAATGTTATCAAAACCATAAGTTTTCATTTATGGCTGATCGATTTGCGCGGAAAAAAGTAAGTGTAAAAGATAATTTTAAATCCGAAAATTTGGAAATTTCTTCACTGTAACCTTAACCACCATAGAGTGAGCTCTGTTGTTTTAAATCTCTCTGTTTTATTCTGTCGAGCGCATACCTTCAAATAACAATATCTGAAATTTCATTTTGATTGGTTGAGCGGATAGGCCGTTAGGTGTTCATATATCGGGAAGGTTTTTTTTATGACCCCTTGTATATACAAATAACTTTATGTGTTCTACACAGACTTTACAATACATTACAGCTATGATTATTATTTTTATAAACTGCTATTCATGTTATGCTGGAATTTAAAATTATTTTACCTCTTGTGGATGAGATGATATGAAGTCCTTATACTTCCACCTTAGTTGCCGTCCCAGTGCATAGCTCTGGAATTTACCGAGCTAAAAAAAAAATTCAGTACATAAGATTCTCTTCAAAAATATCGAATCTTTCAGAAATTAAAGTATAAGAGAAGTAAATTATTAAAATATCACAATACAATAATTTCGCAGCAATAATTAATCTTTTATTTGTATGCAATTAAAATTTCATAATTTAAAATTTAAATCTAAATTAACTTTATTAGCTTCATACGAATACAGAATATTTGTCAAATTCAAATAATACGATAATTTTATATTTTTATAATTATGCAATTTACTGAAAATAATTGGTCCATTTCTAGAAAGTAGTAGTCCAGATCTTGTCACTTATGATTACAAAAGAAAACAGTTTTTCAATAGGTAGTATCATAATTGCCTTCTAATTGGCTTTTCCTGGAAGTTACTATGAACACCGGAATTTTTATTTCTTTACCAATCGTTCTTTACCAACGACAGTTTTATTCCCACACATTTTTTAATCCCTGATACAGCAGTATTTCCATATGATCGGCTTCGACCAATCAGAGTTCACTACAGTTTAGATAGTTATGTTAGGTCATTGATGGTTAGGTTAGGTTTGAAATTTTCAAAATAAACTGAACTTTATTTGGGCAAAATATAAAAAAATTCGTTTTCCATCTAGACTCAGGTCTCTTTTTTGTGCGGTTTAAAAATTATAGTATAAGGTACATGTTTCAGGTTTTTGGAATTCGCAGTCAGCATTATGTACGTAGAAAATGAAGAGAACACTAACGAGACATGCTTGGTGTTTATTTTTGATCTGGCGTGAAACTGAACACAAATGAACTTTTAAATAGCGAAATATTTATTAACGTAGATGGTTAGGTTATTTGAGTATGGAACGCCACACTAGGGCTACATGCTTAAGGGGCACCTGCGTGGAAAACTTTCTAACAGAAAACTTGAAAACCATCCATGTAGGCAGGTCCTTCATCAATATCAGCTATCTTTAACCGTTTTGTTACTGGTGAGACTAAGACGAACGAACAATCTTACGAAGAAAGGAAGAACAACTTATGCAACGTCCAATTGTTTTCAAGTTACCTGCGTCAGAATTTCAACTGAACAATAATAAAAATTATTGGAGTGGTTGAAACTTTGTTAGAGCATATTACAGAAGATGATTCCTGTTCCGATTTGAACAAGCACTTTTCTTTGCCTCTGAATGGCAACGCGAAAAATCAGTAGAAACGCAATGATTTAGAGAACGCTGAATGGCAACAATGTGAGCTTTGGAACTTGCTTTCGATTTGTTTGATGCAGCTCGAATGCTGCTAATGCGATTTTAAACAGATTATTATTAGTGGAATTTGTTTTGGTATTCTAACAAGGGTGACATTTTCCAAAAGACTGAATGAGAAAAGGCTGTTTGCTGGAAGACCGGCTGTTAGCGTCCTGCTCACGTCTGCGGACAGGAGAATCCGATTATCATAGTGCAGGCAGCATAGTGATTGGAGTACGGAGCAATGGGCGACCGTTCCGTTTACCGACGAGTGTCGTTAGCCTAAACGCCGCTTCTCGCCGTATATTTATATGGAGAGAGCCAGGGACCCGCTACCTACACTTCAGTGTCCGCGAAATCAACAGTTATGGCGGTGGCGGTGTAATAGTCTGGGCAGGTATCATGTTGGATAGCCGCACACCTCTCCACGTCTTTGACACAGGCTCTGTGGCTGGTATGAGATATAAGGATGAGGTCTTGGAGCCCTATGTTCGCCTTTTCCGGGGTACAGTGTGCCCCCGAGTTCATCTTACAGGACGATAACGCAAGGCCACATAGAGCTCTTCTGGTCGACGAATTTCTCGAGAGCGAGGATATTCTTCGGATGGCTTGGCCAGCCAGGTCTCCAAACCTTAGCCCCATAGAGCATGTCTGCATGTCTGGGACGCTCTGGGGAGGGCAATTGCAACTCGCAACCCCCTCTGAGAACCAGGGAGGTAGGAAGTAAGATGGAGTCGCCCTAAACAAGTTTTTCCCGTACCCTGCTCTGAAGCACTGGCCATCCCTACGTGGTGACCAAAAACATTGGGTCATCTACCAATGAGTTCAGTGGAATTTGACGCGTTCGGATGTAAATATTTTGTAATTACTTCGTAAATATACATATAAATGTATATATTTTCTTTTTCTACAACACTTCAGAGTCCTAAGTATATGAAAACAACATATTTTTAAACAACATTTCATTCTGAACGGAATTAAATGCTATACTTTTCACAGGACAGTTTTCTCAGAATGGTTTAATTTGAATGAAATATTTCACACAAGTTTTCGTTAATTACATTAGAAAAAAAAATTAAGGTAATTCGATTTTATTCGGTTAAGGTACAAAAATTAAGATCAAAGTTTATTGTATTATTAATATTAAAATTATGCATTATTTATTTTCTATTTATAGAGCTTCTTCCTAAAATACTTTCTTAAAAATGACATGATTTTTTGGCTTCTGAAGCATCTTTTAAATCGAAAAATGTAAGTCCATTTATAATTAATGCTCTATTCGGTTCATTTTAAATTAGAGAATTATTAGGAATTAGCAAAATACTTTAAATAGTACTTGACTTTCTCCGAACATATCTAAAAGAGAATAAAATAAGTTTTTTTTTTTTTTTTTTTTTTAAAGTATTATTTAAAACTTGTAATTGAGTTATTATAAAATGTAAGGGGAATAATTCTTTTAATTATACTTATCAGATTTTTTTTACCTTTCATTTCAACAGTGCATATTCCAAAACTCTTTATTACTTTCTTAAGTGCACATCTCATAGCATTTGCTTTACAATACCTTTTAACAGATTGCTTTCCAATACGAACAATTCTTGCTTAAATAGTTTTATAACGTATTTGTCAACATGATTTCGATTTATGTTTACAATTGAATGTTAAGGTTATTATACATTTAGATAACATTTATAATCATTATAAATTAGATACATTTAATAATTAGATTTCTTCACAGTTGTTTATAAGTGAATAAATTCTTCATTTCAAATACATTTATAAATAATTTAATGAATATTTATGTATTTTGTCAAAGGCAGATACACGCTTTTTGCAATAATATGCAACAAAATATATGGATGTGAAAAAATTTTGTTTTATTTAAAACATTTTGGCGTTTGGAAAATAAAATAAAAGTAGCGAATACAAGGGTATCGAAAGACGTATACAATTTTAAAGGTACCGTAAGGTATTTTTCATTCTTTAAGCATAACATTTTTCTTAAAATCTATATTTTTGTAGTTCAACAGCTTAGAATTTTATAAAACAAATTCATAATCAAAATCGCGCTGTTGTTAGTTATCGAAAAATAACCAAGATGTGATTTTTGCGTAAATGTCACTAAACTATACAAATTGCTATTATCCATCACACTATGAATGTTTCTTTCATGCGAAAGTGTCCCTTTTTCGATTTGTATGGAACTGTCGTGTGTCGAAATACTATCAGAACCGTGTCAAGCGAGCTTCTGAATGTAAACAAAGAACACTCCATCTGGTGACCCAAGCTTCAAAGTAGTGCTTCACTTTCAGCGCGGGTTGGGCCCTCCTCCCTTTCCTACCTCCATGGGTTCTCAGCATGGAGGTAGGAAAGGAAGGAGGGGCCAGTCGGGCACTAGAAGTGAAGCACTACTTTGAAGCTTGGGTCACCAGATGGAGTGTTCTTTGTTTACATTCAGAAGCTCGCTTGACACGGTTCTGATAGTATTTCGACACACGACAGTTCCATACAAATCGAAAAAGGGACACTTTCGCATGAAAGAAACATTCATAGTGTGATGGATAATAGCAATTTGTATAGTTTAGTGACATTTACGCAAAAATCACATCTTGGTTATTTTTCGATAACTAACAACAGCGCGATTTTGATTATGAATTTGTTTTATAAAATTCTAAGCTGTTGAACTACAAAAATATAGATTTTAAGAAAAATGTTATGCTTAAAGAATGAAAAATACCTTACGGTACCTTAAAATTGTATACGTCTTTCGATACCCTTGTATTCGCTACTTTTATTTTATTTTCCAAACGCCAAAATGTTTTAAATAAAACAAAATTTTTTCACATCCATATATTTTGTTGCATATTATTGCAAAAAGCGTGTATCTGCCTTTGACAAAATACATAAATATTCATTAAATTATTTATAAATGTATTTGAAATGAAGAATTTATTCACTTATAAACAACTGTGAAGAAATCTAATTATTAAATGTATCTAATTTATAATGATTATAAATGTTATCTAAATGTATAATAACCTTAAAATTGAATTGTAAACTTAAATCGAAATCATGTTGACAAATACGTTATAAAACTATTTAAGCAAGAATTGTTCGTATTGGAAAGCAATCTGTTAAAAGGTATTGTAAAGCAAATACTATGAGATGTGCACTTAAGAAAGTAATAAAGAGTTTTGGAATATGCACTGTTGAAATGAAAGGTAAAAAAAATCTGATAAGTATAATTAAAAGAATTATTCCCCTTACATTTTATAATAACTCAATTACAAGTTTTAAATAATACTTTAAAAAAAAAAAAAAAAAAAAAAAAAAAAAAAACTTATTTTATTCTCTTTTAGATAATGTTCGGAGAAAGTCAAGTACTATTTAAAGTATTTGCTAATTCCTAATAATTCTCTAATTTAAAATGAACCGAATAGAGCATTAATTATAAATGGACTTACATTTTTCGATTTAAAAGATGCCTCAGAAGCCAAAAACCATGTCATATTTAAGAAAGTATTTTAGGAAGAAGCTCTATAAATAGAAAATAAATAATGCATAATTTTAATATTAATAATACAATAAACTTTGATCTTAATTTTGTACCTTAACCGAATAAAAATCGAATTACCTTAATTTTTTTTTCTAATGTAATTAACGAAAACTTGTGAAAATATTTCATTCAAATTAAACCATTCTGAGAAAACTGTCCTGTGAAAAGTATAGCATTTAATTCCGTTCAGAATGAAATGTTGTTTAAAATATGTTGTTT